GTCCTGCAATGTTGGTAGGTGAGGCAGAGAAGTGACCCAGCAAAGGAGAGCCGGAAGGACCAGTCAGTCTGAGCCTCCATGAGCCTCCCCAGTGATGGGCTTATCCATTGGTAGATGCATCTGAGCTAAGCTGGAGCCAGAGTTGCAAAGCAGGTACACAGCCCGGCCTCTGGTCCCTGTCACTTGGTGGAAGTGTGGCCATTTCTTAGTGGGTAGACCTGGGTTTACCTTCTAATAAGAAAGCTCCAAACCCAGGGTTCCTTGGTATACAGCTGGGCATGAGACTGTGTGAGAATGCCCTACAGTCCCTATCAAAATGCCACATGCCACATGCACTTATCTGGGCAGAAGGCACAAAGTTTCTAAAGGATCCTTAAGGCTAGGTGATGTTTCTCAATAATTTCTAAATGAAACATCAGCTATTGTAACAGACTCTCAGACTATCCAGCACCTTAAACATTGCCCCTCTGGGGAAAGCCAACCCTGAGCAAGAAAAATGTGGAGGGACCAAAAGCAGAGAACACTTTCCGTCATCTGTCTGTCTGTCTGTCTGTCTGTCTGCGCTATTGACCACAGACAGGAGACGTAGCTAACTGCCAGAGAACTTGCATCGAGCTACATTGGGAGTGAGGGTGTGTGAACAAAAAAATAAAATGGTTCAGTAGCAAGGACATGGCCGAGGGGCCATGTGGTTCCACCCTGAGTTTGCTGGGTTCCTCTATCATACCCCAGCAGCCCGAACCTCTGGGGCTAATGGCTGTCAGCCTGGGCTGCTTGGAAATGAAGCTGGACTTGGGTGTTTCCATCCATCCATACACACCCACTCAGTTAAGGCTGCAAAAGAGACAAAGATACCAGGAAACTGAGAATCTGATCCAACACCAAGACGCCTTCTGTTGGAGAGCGCTCACGATTCAGTCAAACAAACTCACGATTCAGTCAAACAAACTTGTGTATTTTCCCCCTGCAGGGCAGAGAGGCTATTTACACTTTCTTTTGTATTAAAATACCGGGGTGATTCAGGTGTGGTGGCACATACCCCTAGTGTCAGCACTCAGGAGGCTGAGTCAGAAAGATGACAAATTCAAGGCCAGTGTGGGCAACATAGTGAGATCTTGTCTCAAAACAAAACAGAAGGAAACAGACAAACAAAATCCCATCCTGGTTACAAATTATTCTAGCAGAGGAGGGAAGCTGGCTGATTTCAGGAGGCCTTCCCCCTCACAGGACAAAGGGGACTTCCATCCCATGTTCCCATCAGAGCAAAGAGTATACAGAGGGTAACTAGAAAGCTTAGTTCACCTTGAATGTGTTATTTTTAAAGAAACGGGTTGGCCCCACTTTGGGGGCCTTGCAAAGAATTTACTGTTTGGGAGAGTGCTGGAACAAAAGTGGTGGGCCATTCACCAAGTATTTCAACATTTCAGAATGGTCTAAAAAGTAAGAGACAGGGTAGCTGCTGGGGTGGACTTCAGGGTCCTCCCTCCGAGACAGCCAGTGATGTTCCCTCTCCAGAATCTCATGCGTGCCAACTAGAGAAGGGCTTGGTGGTTTCTCATTTGTTTCGGAAATCTTCAGTTTTGACAATAATATTTTCAAGATGCATTTCTTGCTGTTTCTAAACTCGGTCTTTCAGTTGATGCTTACCAGGTTCAGGGTGCTGTTCATCTGGCAGGGGCCAGACTGCCCCCAGGAGTGGCTTCCAGGAGGGCAGATGGCTACACACTCCCTTATGTCTTCTTCACCTGGGCCTGCATTCTAACCATGGCCTTTTCATGCAAGGGGCCCAGAGACCACCCTGACCCACATGGATCTCATCAGAGATTGACCAGGCCCTCCCTGGGGTCCCAGTGTGGGCTGAGCATCAGCAGACTCCAGGCTGGGGACTGGGGAGCTGCTTCCACAGGGAAATCTTCCCTTCGTCCAGAATGGTGCTTGGGTCCCTGCTAAGCCTTTAAAGATGTGCACTTTTTTGTGTGAAAACCTATAAGGTAAACATTATTGAGTGCATACTCAGATGAGAAGTTACATAATTTGCCAAGAGCCGCAAGGCATTTGGCAGAGGAGAGACACCCATTCCTCTTGGACCCACATCTGTGCTTACCCATGGTGCCTGTGTGCCTAACTCCATCCTCTGCCTCTTGCAACTATTTGAGAGGCAGAGACTGCAGGAGGCTGCAAACTATCCTGTGGCTTGCTCCAAGCTATAGAGCTCCCAAAACAAGCCTAGTGTGCCCATCGTCCTTAGCCTCTAGTCTCCAGGGTCCCACTTGTTTCCTTTAAGTGGGACATCCTGGGTGGGGTGTTCCAACCCATACAACACAATAATAAATAATAAACAGACAAACCAACCCCTCATCTAACATACCAGTGCACAATGCTTCACCATACATCTCTGAAAGGAAGTGTCCATGTAAGACATAACAGGAGAGTGAAAGAAAAAGTCACCTAAGGCCCAATGACCTACCTCTCTCCATGAAACTCATGCCTCACACTAGGCCCTTCCCGTGTGTGTGTGTGTGTGTGTGTGTGTGTGTGTGTGTGTGTGTAGTTTTTTATTTTAATTTTTTTCATTTTATGTGTATGAGTATACTGCCTGCATGTATGTAACTGCACCGCTGCTGTGCAATGCCTGTGGAGGTCAGAAGAAGGTATCCGATCCCCTGGAACTGGAGTGTGGGACAGTTGTTAGCAATCCTGTGGGTGCTGGGAATCGAACTCAGGTCCTCTGCAAGAGCAGCCAGTGCTCTTAACCACTCAGCCATTTCCCCAGCCCGGCCCATCTCTTTCGAGTTAGAAATTATTCAGACTGTGTAGAAGTCTTGGGGCATGGTTGGAGAAAGCTAGGTACTTCTGACTCCATATTAAGAGCACAACGAGGAGGTGTGACTGGTTTGGAGTTTTTTCTTCTTTATCTCTAGAGAATGCGGCGCTACTTGTTAGCTCGGCTCTCTCCTTTGCCACGTAGGAAGCACGTCTGGGGTGTGTGAGGGCTCACGGCTCTACTGCAGACACTGCCAATCTTCATATGCTGTTTGTTTTTGAAGTGGACACTCAGTGAGCCCTGGAAGCTGCTGGCCTGTGCGGGAAACCTCTGCCGTGGACGCTTTTTATCTCTAGAGAATGCGGCGCTACCTGTTAGCTCGGCTCTCTCCTTTGCCACGTAGGAAGCACGTCTGAGGGGTGTGTGAGGGCTCATGGCTCTACTGCAGGCACTGCCAATCTTCATATGCTGTTTGTTTTTGAAGTGGACGCTCAGTGAGCCCTGGAAGCTGCTGGCCTGTGCGGGAAACCTCTGCCGTGGACCACATTCCTGCAGTCCAGTCGCCATCTTCACTTTACAGGGGGAGGGCACAGGAGGCTCATGCAGGGCAAGGAATGTGCCCAGGGCAGTGTAGTGACTAGTGGCAGGGAATGAAGGCTGAAGCAGAGGCTAGCTCTCTTGACCTGCCTTCCTGCTCCATATTAGGCAGTTTTTACACACGTGACAGAGCAAGAGGGGAGACCTGTTTCTATGTGTCCTAACAGCCCATAGAGCCATTCCAGGGCAGGTGTTGGAAAGCACCAAGACATGGTCTTTGAAACTAATAATACCACATACTTTGGGGTCTCCGTCCAGTTCACCGTCAAGGCCAGGACCACAGCTGTGGGTATGACTAGACATTGGTTTGCTGTGATCTGTTGGTGTTCACTTGTAGGCACACCTCCAAATGCACCCTGAAGACACCTTCATCCTCCTCACCTGGTCATGAGTCTCCATCGAGCCTCAGTGAGGTTAAGAGAAACAGGTGGTGGGGTTTAAACACTAGACTTGGAATCAGTCGGAAAGGAGATGAATAATGAATATACTTGCAGAACTGGGTGTTTACTTTTGGAAACATGGTACCTTAAACGCTCAGCGCCCATGATGTTAAGGCTGAAAGGCAGTGACTGGAGGAACCATGCCTGCCTCTGCTTTTATGCAGAAATCGCACTTTGCTTTGGAAATGAAATACTTTAGGCTGTGCATTTCTGGCAGTTATGGCATTCGTCAGGTGTGTGGAGTGTGCCCTCCCACCTCATGAAGTTTTCTGGGCTGGGTTTCAAATGCCCCAAGCTCCCTGGTCCCAACAGTCCTGTTCCAAGGCTGACTGCTTAGTTTGTCTCCATCGAGCCTCAGTGAGGTTATGACTTGGAATCAGTCGGAAAGGAGATGAATAATGAATATACTTGCAGAACTGGGTGTTTACTTTTGGAAACATGGTACCTTAAACGCTCAGCGCCCATGATGTTAAGGCTGAAAGGCAGTGACTGGAGGAACCATGCCTGCCTCTGCTTTTATGCAGAAATCGCACTTTGCTTTGGAAATGAAATACTTTAGGCTGTGCATTTCTGGCAGTTATGGCATTCGTCAGGTGTGTGGAGTGTGCCCTCCCACCTCATGAAGTTTTCTGGGCTGGGTTTCAAATGCCCCAAGCTCCCTGGTCCCAACAGTCCTGTTCCAAGGCTGACTGCTTAGTTTGTCTTCACTGTGGGTGCCAAATGGAAAAGTACACATCTTCTGTCTGGTTTTGATCTCAATAAAATTCTAAAATACCACCATCAGACCCACTAAGTGGTACTATGTGAACCATCCAAGTGGGAGGGGGCAAAGGGAGTAGCCAAGAATGACGTTCACACATTTCCAGGGGTCTTTAAGACACATGCAAGCCATGTTCAAGAGGATGAAAAAGCCCTGAAGAAACTTCTGGGCAATGTTCTGTCAAGAGCACATCCAGCCCTGCGATGCGGTGTGCTACCCTCATGGTGGGGCCAGGATTCCAGTGAGCTCCCGGCTTGGAACTGTTGCAAACAAGTTCTACCTAACCCTGACTCCAGTCCCTGCCTAGCCTGCCCACCTGCACCCAAATGCAAACTTTAAAGGCCCTGAAGCCCAAATCACTAGTCAGGCAGGAACATTAATTACGTTTATAGCTGAGGTTATAACGGGGCTGCAAAAATTTCCTGCTGTAATTGGAATATAGATTCAACAGTTTTATTGAATGTCAACGCACATAACTGCACAGCTGCTGGAGAGGTACCGCAGAAATAATGCTCCTCTTCCATGACAAACACCTATTAAGCCGTCAGCACAGACTCTTCCCTCACAGCCCCTGACAGTACCTCAGGGCAGGCAGACACAGCACAGCAATTGCCGAATTGCGTATGAAAATGATCATTTTATTGTCTATACAACTGAAGGTTTAACTCGGACTCCTGCCTCCATCCGAGCTGGATAAAGAAGCAATTCTTCTCGAACAAATAAGCACAGTACACTATTGTAATCTAAGAAACAGGCACTATTTATGTATCAGAAAGCCTCGTTCTCAATAGGGCTAACAGTCCAATGGCCCAGAAGTCACTGTCTTCGCAGCTGTAGGAAGAGAACTGGAAAAGTCACAAGTAATGAGATGCTAAGGGCGGCAGGGACAGAGGACGGCGGCGCTGAGGGACGCTCCCTCCTGCAGCTGCCCTGTCAGTTCAGTAAGCATGACTCGTAGGTGGGCACCATGTACTTGATGTTGATGAAGGCGTCCTCCCCTCCGTAGCGTTCGAAGGCCTCCAGCGTCTCCTGGATCAGGTCACCGATGTTCTCCCTTTTCTGCTGACTGTAGTCGATGCCATCTCCAGAGTTCACTGGTTCAGACAAACAGACAACGGCAGTTATTTCTGTGAACTGTCCCTAAAGTCCCATCCCACAGGTAAGGCATCTGCCCATGAGCACTTGCTAGGAGACACTGACAGGTGACACTCATGTGATCTTGCTGAGATTGAGGACTGGAGGAAACTCCATGAAGAGACTTTTGTGGGCACGATGCTGCAACATCTGGGATCCCAGCCAGCATCAGGAGGCTGAGGCAGGAGAATCACCTTGAGTTGGAAGTTAGCCTGGGCTACACAGCAAGACCCTTCCTCTTAAAAAGTCAACCAACCAACTAAACAAACAAATAAGAACAACAAATCCCAAGCCCCAGTGAGGAGCTGATGAAAACTGATCTAAAATAAACAAGGGCAGGCACGCCTTTAGTCCCAGCCCTCGAGAGGCAGAGGCAGGTGGATCTCTGTGAGATCCAGGCCAGCCTGAACTACATGGTGAGTTCCAGGCCTGCTGGGGCTACAGGAAGATCCTGTCTCAAAAAGACCCGAGGAAATAACCTGCAGTTATTTCTGTCTCTTTGGTGGGGGTCGGGGGGTTGGTGTGTGTGTGTCTGCTGTGGCAGCTCCTGCATGCCACACAGGACCTGTGGCCAACAGATCTTAGTTATGGCACACCCAAGGGCTGATGCTGCTGCTAGCTCTGGAACTTCCCAGTCCAGGGGACCCTGATGGAGGCCCAGCCACCCACAGCCTGGATACAGCCTCTGTGGCTGCTGGTGCCACAAAGCAAGTCCTAGGTGGTCTTGGCAATTCAGAAACCTGCATCTCAGACTCCATTCTGCTCTGCAGGTGAGAGGGGCACCCAGACTGTGAGGTGTCTGCAGGAATGACTGAGAGTCTGACAGAGGTGCACCCCTGTGCGCCCTCCACACTAACATGTTCATGTTTCTCTCTACACTGTCTTTACATGCTTTCTGTTGCTTTCACAGCTCACTAAGGATTTTGATGTTACTGTCATTAGTGTGCCTCTGAAAAGCACCCCATGATGCCCTGTGACATAGGAAAGGGGAATGTGTTGGCCTTCAAGGAGACAGAGGGATGAAGATAAGAGCTCGGGCCCAATGCCATAGGCAGCCCCCACCCCCACCCCGGCCCCAGTGCATCCTGAGAACAGTCAGTCACCAGAGGAAGGGCTTGCTCTGTTTATACTGCACACAGCCTTTAAGTGCTATCTGGCTTGAATGTAAAGACAGTGGAGGTTAAAATGATGTTTCAAACTTCTTATCCCAAGTTATTTTGGGGCATTTCAAAAAGATTGGTTAATGGCTCAGACCAGAACAAACATAACTATTGAAATCCGCACAGCACAGGCAGACACTTCTTTCTCTTAACTTTTTTCCCCCAGAAACTTCTTAGAGAAGCACCACTGCGTATCAGCATAGTAAAAGTGAATTGCCACTCCAACTAGTTTCTTTCGGTGGAGGGGAAAGAAGGTAGAAATGTCACTAATTTTCAAAAACAAATGTGACTCATACAACCGTCACACATTTTATTTCATAAAAATGAGCTGAAGAATAGTTTACAGAGCAGTTTAGGGGTTTTCCCTTGTCCTTCCCATGGTGGACACCTTTCTGTCACATTGAAAGCTGGATTTAAGTCATTTTAAAGTCTGACTTATAAAATAGTCGATCACTCAAAATACTCAAACACGTGGAACATACACGTTTAAGCATTGCTCAAAAAATATTTATACAGAACAGCCAAGAGAGAAGCTTCTTAAAGGGTCTCGACTTATTTTCAAGAAAAGCAAATACATATCACCTAAGAGCACAGATAAGTACTCAGTCAAAGCAAACAGGCTTTACCATTATTATTAATTATTATTGTTATCATTCTCATTACGACTACTATTGATTGGCATGGTGTTATGAGAAGAGGATGCAGGTAGGAATGGCCACACTAAAGAGGACGTGCATGAGTGGTAATCCTCTCAGAGTCCTCCAAGAGGAGAGGGCCTTGGGTTAGATTGGGAGAGGAGGTGAAGGAGGAGGGATTGAGGACAGGGAGGAAGGTGCTTCGGTTTGGCAGGGGTGGGTGTGGTTGCTGTTGAATACAGGTGTGAAAAACAAAAGGTTCAGAAATAAAGTCTGAAGGGGCCAAGAAAAAGAAGGAACAAAAAGTCTGAACAAGAGGCAGAGAACGCTGTGTGACAAGACCCACAGTAAGGGCGAGTTGTCCTGGGAAGGACGTCAGTGGCCCAGGATTCTAAGTGGAGAGAAAAGACTGTCCTGGAAGGTCTTCGGCTAATCTCAGTGTCCTCCCTGGTAGGCACCAGCTTGTGCTCCTTCGTGCTGTTAGGAAGAGTGTGTCAGGATCTATGCTTGCCTATGACAGTTGAACCCACAGCACCCCCACCGCAAGGACACCTGGAAAACAAACTTGGTGATGACACAGCTGTGCCAGTCCCGATCCAGCCTTCTAGACAAAGATGATGTATTAATCGCTGGTAAATAGTGCCTTTTGTCGGCATGTTGGTCTAAAGGTCAAGAACTGAATGGACCATGGGCCAGGCCTATTTTCCTGATGGAGCTGAGGGAATGTGGAAAGTCTGCACACAATGGAGAGCTTACACACCCTGGATTTCACTCCCTTCTAGAGCATAGCGCTGACAAGCAACACTTTATCCCATATTCTTCTTAAAAACATTTAACTGTAGGAGGAGGGCTCTGTAGCTCTTTTCTGCGTTTCAACAATATACCAACACACATAACAAAAGAAAGAGAAGAGAAGTTGCTTATTCAGAAAGGGAGTTGGAGTTGGAATATCCTGCCATTGCAGAATGTGGACCACGGGGGCAGAAAAAGACCAAACACCACCACCGCCACAATCAAGAGCTGGTGCCTTGTTCTGCCCGCTTTAATGACGACAGAACGGCTAATGTCAAGCTCTGTTGAGAGGCAGGCAGTGATGTGATCTCCATTTCAAAACTGGGATGTTGTCAGTTTTTTGAGAACCTGAAAGTGGAGGTGATTAGTTTGAGCTCCCCGTTCTAAATGCAGACAGCATACTGGAAAAAAATGTGTTTGTGAGAATAGGACACTTAAAACAACAACAGCAACAACCAGATGGTTATTTACAATTGTCAATTCTGATTAGGAACATGACATTTCAATTTAGGAAGCTGAGAGTCTATTTTAGATTCAGATGGCTAGAAGGACACATTGATGATGGAAAAGATATGTTTAATTTATAACCAAACAAATAGGGTTTATAGAGAGGGCGCAGACCAGACTTTGTGCTTGGTAAGGATGATTTGCAAGGAGTCGAACAGGGATTTGGGGCTTTCTTAGAGATTCTGGCTCAAGGAAGCAGACAACCACAGCCCCAGGGTGGCTCCTGCTTACAAGTTATTTGAACTGCATTGGTCAATTTGAATGTTGACTCTTCTCTGATTAGCCTAGTGATCTGCTTTAGCATTAAACACATGCAAAAGGCCTTTTCTATTTAAACCTATGGGTTGGACCAGGGTGCTGTCTGGCTCTTGACATTTTCCAGGTCGAAAAGAGCCACATGTGTAGTTCCCATCTGCCCACCGACGGCATGCTCCTGGAACAGAAGCTCAGCTCATGCCTGAGAGGCAACCCCTGTCACCCAGGGTCACTGCAAAGGCTGGTTACATAAGGCACATTAACGTTTTGCACAGATGTCTGCTCCTCGGTGGCCAGTGGCCAGCAGGCTGGGATCCTGTAGAATTCTGACGCGACAGTCTCTCTGTGGTTTCAATTTCTAGGCTGTGTGGACGCCTCACGCTTTTCCTTTATCTTATTACCACTACCACACAAAAAAGGAGGAGCCCCAAAAGCAAAGGCGGAGGTGGAAAGAAAGGCCAGTTTTGCTGGACAGAAAGCATTCTTCTCAAGTCGAGGCTGCGGCTGGCTTCGAAGCATTGCTTCTTGGTCCTGAAAGTCACCCTTGACCTTGGCAGCAATTTCTGCTATTGTTACAGGTGTTTTATCCAGACCCAGAGCTCTGCTAGGCCCTGTAGGGCGACAGATGTGAGAAGACACCAGGCCCTTGCCTTTGGGGGAGCTTACCTGTTGGATAAGTGATCTAATTAACTACCTTCTCCACAGGGCAGATGATCCCTTGCATCCACTGAGACTTGTGGGGCTCATAAACCCAGGCCTTGTGGTCTCCTTTATGTTCGCCACTGGACTTGGGCCTGGGGAGAACTCTGACCCACTCACTTTAGCCAGATGCCCAAGGGAACCTTATCTTAGAGACAGGAAAAGCTATAAAGAGTGTGTGGATGGCTCAGGGATCCTTTAATTCAAATTAATTGTTATTTTTTTATTCTAATGCCTTTTTTTTTGTGGTGAGGGGAGTGTCTTAAATGGTAAATAGAGATTCTTGTGAATAGATACACACAATATGGTCACTTGGAAATGAAAGCCTCATTTAAGTCGTGAGACATATATAGACAATAAATAAATGCTTACTTCAGGTCCTTCGCCAACATACCTCGTGTGTTGTTTGGTGGATGCCTGAGAGATGAAGCAATTGATGAATTCTGTCAGCTCTTTCTGGCATTAGCTGGGAAGGAAATACATAGGCTAGAAGTCCCTGTGTTGACTCTGACTCAGGCCCTCAGGGAGGGACAAGACCACACAGCCTGAAGCAAGGTCACAGGTGCTGGAGGATGCTGCCTGGCCCAGTTCTACCTCTGAGGCTTCAATGGCCCCAAATGTCTCAACTATTCTGAAGGGGGGTCCTGGCCTGTGAAACATAGAGTCACATGTATGGGTCAGGAAAAGATGAAGGGCTGACAAGATGACTTGATGGGTAAAGATGCTTGTCACTGGGACTGATGATCTGAGTTCGATTCCTGGGACCCACATGATGGAAGGAGAAAACCAATTCCCACAAGTTGTTCTCTAATTTCCACATGTGCTATGGCATGTACACACCTACACACACATACACGTACAAATAAATAAGTGTAACAAAAATACTTAAAAATGAACAAACCAACCAAGATG